GAGTGTAAACGTATTATAAAACCTAACACTGTGTTCATGAAACCATGAATGATAGCACTCTATAAGTTCATACAGCATTTTTAAATGGGCATGTTGGTAGTGGGTAGTATGCATACTAGCAGCACTTGGAAGGACATGGATTAAAAAAGAATATTGACTCTCGTAGTGTGAAGATTTTTCTCTCCTATCATTTTTATTTTTTAAATTTGCATATAAATTGAGTGTGAGAGACAGAGACAGAGAGAAAAAGCACTGTCTAGAGGGAGATGGCCATTCCTTAATCCCTTCTCCATTCTCCTATTGGGACTTTGGACCCACATGCACACATAGCTCTCTTAAGCTGCCATGTCCAGGACTCCAATAAAACAGCCCTGGGGGATTCAGCCATCTACACCTCCATGGCACCAATTAGCAAATACATCGTTTAACTTTTATTTTTTATAATTTTGATTTGTAGTGTGTACTTACTGCATTGAGAATATAACATTTATGTCACTGTAAGTAATAGGTTTTTATTCTGAAAATATAAAACTATATATCAAAGAAAATGTTTCGTGTTTATTATTAAACACCTCAAATAATATTTAAGGTGAGATATACTCAAATTATCTTTGAGTACTGAAAGAAAAACAGATTTTTTTTTGTTATCTAAAAGGAATTGTAAAATAAAACATTTAGTTTAATTCTTCAAAAAATTAACTAAAGGGGTCAGCAGGAGGCATAGTGGTTATGGCACTGGACTCCTACATGGTCGATCACAATTTGAGTCCTAGACCTGGTGGCTTGTAACTCATGCCCAGTGTGTGTGCATGCATGCCCGAGATCCCAGGAGGAGAATGGAGTAGAAGGGACTGTGAAGGTGCCATCCCTCCAGGGGGTGATTCATTGTTTTCTCTCTCTTTGTCTCACCGCAAGTGCATATCCTCTATAGCAATAATGTCTCTATTAAAAAAAAAATCAACTAAAAACCATACAAGACCAGATCTAGAAATGATCAACTTCAGATAGTGAAAATGGCTGCAGCTAAGAATGAATGACCAACAGTGAGAATTCAATGATGATAAAACAACCTATAAAACAAAAAGGAAATAAAGAAACATCGACAAGTATTGAATTAATGAGGATATTCTCAGTATTTAACAAATCAAATAGCTAACAAGAAAAATAAAATTTATACAACTATTTACATACATGACTTTTTAGTCTTTGAAAAAATATAAGAGATAAAGAATATGCATGATTTTCAGAAAGCAGGACTACCTTTTCTAAGTAAAATACTTACAAATTGGATTTTTTCAATACTAAAAGCTCCCCATAAACATTTATATACTTGATGACAATGACCATATGAACAAATCTCAAAAATAACACATGTCCTATGGCAAAACTAAAACAAATTAAATTAAACATGAATCAAATAACATTTTCTCTCAAATTCAAATGTAATATGTGAGTGGTTACAAACATCTCCGATATCTGAGGGACAATTTTTACACAGATCATGGAAGCAGGTTGGAAATGACAGTCAGCAGTGTAGGTATTTTTCTTTCCCTCCTCTATTTCAGTTTAAAATACATACATTTATGACAGACTAGAGCCGTTCATGATACAGCACCCATGTTGCCTTTAACAAGATTAATTAATTCTCTATCGGAATAGTATCTAAAAAAAGAAATAAATCATGATAAATCAGGGCCAGCAGATGGTGAAGCAGTTATATTGCTGGACACGGTCGTCCACAGTTTGAGTCTCTGACATGGTGGTTTGAAAATCGCACTGGGCATGTGTGCCCAAGATCCCAAGAGAAGGGAGGAAATGGGGTTGTGGAGTGGCCATTCCTGCGGGGGTTGACTTCTCATTTTTACCTCTCACCGTCTCTGTCTCTGTCTCTCTCTCTGGGGAGCCCATATACCTTAAGGCCAAAAACTCTAAAATAAATAAATAAATAAATCATGATAAATCAAGCATGCACATGTTATAAGTGAAGTTTGATGTTATATTCTGAGATCAGATAGAAGAATCAAGAGACACTAAAATAAGCAGAAATAAGAAAAGGACTAAAATGAATAATTTCAAGATCCCAGTTAAGGGACCAGCAGTTGGCATAATGGCTATGTCGCTGGACTTCCATGTAGTCAGCTGTGGTTTGAATCCCAGACTCAGTGGCTTAAACTCATTCCTGGCGCATGCGTGTGCATGCCCAAGATCCTAAGAGGAGCTTTTTTGAAATAGCAAAGATTTTTTTTTTTTTTTTTTTTTTAATCTGAGGGAATGGGGAGAGAGGTACTCATCACACTGTGACCTGCCCCAGCCTCCCGAGATCATGGGCATATGTCAGTATGCCTGGTGTGTTCAGGTCCATCCAGTAGTAACACAATGCAGAAATACTCAAGAAAATTTCAGTAGAAATCTAATCCAGGGCCACCGTGTATTCTAGGGTTAAGGCAGCTAGATACCGAACAGACTGTGCGATTCCAATCCTGCTCCTAGTGGCTTTAGAAACACAGCAGGTTGGGACCAACAGTTAGCGTAATGGCTTTGTCGCTGGACTCCCATGTAGTTGACTGCAGTTCGAGTTCTGGACTCTGTGGCTTAAACTCATGCCGGGCACGTATGTGTGTGTGCCCAAGAGAGGAGAATGGAGGAGAAGGGATTGCAGTGTGGTCATCCCCCTGGGGGGTGATTTCTCGCTTTCTGTCTCTCTGGCGAGCACACGAGTCCTATAGCAAAAACCTCTCCAAAAAAAAAAAAAAAGGAAAGAAAAAGAAAAAAAAAAAAAAACCTCCAACTAATTATAGTGGATAATTAAGAAGTTTTTGTTTGTTTGTTTGCTTTTATCTTTTGGTTCAGGACTTGTGTACTGGAAGGAGAAAAACAGAGAGACAGAATAGAGAAAGAGAAAGTGAAAAATCATCCCCCACTCCACAAGCAAATGGCCTTGCTGCAACCCCTTCTCATTCAATCTCTTCTTGAGATAATGGGTTTGGTGTGTTTTTCAAGCAAGGTGCCCAGAATTTGAACTACCCCTCAGCCATGTAGGATCCAGAAACATTAACAGCCACACCACTAACTGGCCCAAGAAAAGTTCATTTTTTAAAAAATAAGAATTATTTATTTCATTTTATTTATTTTGTTTTGACTAGAGAAAGAGAAAGAGAGGGAAAGTGAGAAAGCAAGCTACCAGATCCAGGACTCAAACCATAGTCAATCACGAGGGAGTGTCTAGGACCTTATCCATCATGCCACCTGCTGGTCCCAGGAGTGTTCACTTTTAAGGACATTCTTGTTCCTGCCAAGAAATGATAGGTTGGAGGGTGGAGACCTGAATTCTATAGTTGCTGGAGAAGATGGCATTGCCAGGGTCTGAAGCAAATTTAAATGAGTGATGAGCAGAGGCACAAAGGTAAATATTAAGGTGAAGCATCAGAAAGAGATACAATTAGTATTGATAGATAAAGGATATTTTTAAAGAAAACCTGATGTTTTAAATGCACATATATAATAACAAAGATATGTTTTTATGTTTTTTTTTCCTTTCTTTTCTTTTCTATTTTCTTTTTCTTTTTTTTTTTTTTAATATTTTGTTTTAATGTTATTTGGTTTTTTTTTTTTTTTTTTAGAGATATTTTGGCTATAGGGCACATGCGCTCACCAGATACAGAGAAATACAAAGAGACAGAAAGTGAGAAATCACTCCCCAGGAGGGATCACCACACCACAATCCCTTCTCCTCCACTTTCCTTTAGGGATTTTAGGTACATATGCCCATGCACCCAACGTGACTTTTAAGCCTCCGGGTCTGGGACTCGAACTGCAGTTGACAACATGGGAGTCCAGCAACATAACTATTATGCAATCTGCTGGGCCTGGCAAAGATAAATTTCTGTTATGAGAATAAAATAAATTTCTCATTAAGTCCAAAATCTTTCTAACATAATATAAATGAATATACATGTGAGTATTTTGTTATATTGTATTTTATTATATTACACATGATTACGTATGTTGCCAAATGCTTTTGATCTGTTCCACTGAGGAAAAATACAGCTATCATTAAATCAAGCAGAAAATAATAGTTTATATTGCATGATTTTTGCATTTATATTGTTTATTTTAGGAGACTATAACACTCTGAAAATCAAGATTTGACAAATACTGTTTTTTTTTTTTTTGAGAGGTTTTTTGCTGTAGGGCACGTGCGCTCGCCACACAGAGAGAGACAGAGAGACAGAAAGCGAGAAATCAACCCCCAGGGGGGATGGTCACGCCGCAATCCCTTCTCCTCCATTCTCCTCTCGGGATCTTGGGCACGTACGCACACGCGCCCGTAGTGAGTTTTAAGCCACCGGGTCCAGGACGTGAACCACGGTCGACTACGTGGGAATACAACGACATAGCCATTACGCTAACTGCTGGTTCCCTACTGTTAAGTTTTCAAACTCAACATTTACATTAAAAAAAAAAAGCCTTCAAATATGGACTTCTCTCTTTCCTTATTATGGAGGAAACTGAAAGCAAAATGTATATTGTCCTTAAAGCTTGTAGAACTCTACAAAAACATAGTATGCTTAGTGGCCATAATGTATCAGATAAACAACTGAAACTTACTTGGTGTAAGCCTGTCCTAAATTAATATTGATTTATATTTATATATGTTTCTGTAACTTGCTGTAGAGAAAAAAAAATGTGTGCTGTATTAAAAGAGACTAAATTTCTGACTTTTCTCAATACATAATTTCCTGAAAGTGATTTTCATGAAATTTCATGTTTTAAAATGGTAGATTTTAAAACACAATGATGGGCCCAGCAGATGGCATAATGGTTACATCACTGGACTCCTGTATAGTTGAGTATAGTTCAAGTCCCAGACCCAGCAGCTTAAAACTCACTCCGTGTGTGTGTGTGTGTGTGTGTGTGTGTGTGTCTGTGTGT